CACACACACACACACACACACACACACACACAGAGGGACCCTAACACGGCCCACGACAGGTGAGCACACCCAATCTGCGAAGTCGATGTGCGCTCCTGCTGAAGATTGTAAGCGAAATCCCCACGTGCCCCCGCTGTGCAGCAAACATGAGGAGTCCAGCGACAATCTCCCCTAGCTCCTGTCTCCCTCACCTTCGCGGGCTGACCCTGACAACAGTGCCAGGGCAGGAGACCCCCACAAAAACCTCCATATAAAAAATCGAGGGGCATAACCCCCAATCGGTGTCGTTAGGTATGGTGCAGCGTCCGGATCCCACCCGCCGATGGCCCCCACATATCACGCTCTTCTTCCTCCACCAAACCAGGAATCCTGACAGACGTCAAGTGAGACCAGCAACGATCAGGAGCATGTCACGGCTCCCTTGGCGCAGCCCCCTAACACCCCAGTGTTCTTCCCTGCTGCACCATGGTCACGCCAGTGCCAAGTTTTGGCAATTGAAGCAGACAGATTTCGTCGCCCCGCCCCCGTTAGAGAGCCCCCAACGCCCGAACTAACGCGCCTTCCCCCACGGTTTAGGAAGCACTGGTGGTTAAAGATCAGGATGAATCCATACAGTTATTTGTCCGTACTCTGTCTGCTACCATTTTTATCATCGTACAAAGTACTAAGAACCGATGAGGAAAAGGTTGTCCATGCATCACTTGGTCAAGTACCCCTTCCGTCCTCTGACTGCTACCATTTTTATCATTGTAAAAGTTATGAAAAAACATGTGAAAAAAAGGTTGTCCGCATATCTCTTTCCGAGATGGATCTTGCGCCACTTTCCAGATTCCTTAAAAAACTTTTCTGCAAACATGTCTTACCCCTGGCCTGTATCGCACACCTGCAGGTCGGGAGCAGCCCCCGCATGTTCTCTCATGAACACGGTTCTGGCCGCTATGGGGTTCCCCGTAGGACTATAATTAGGAGTCGTGGTAGGTAGGTAGTGTGAGATGAAATTGAGAGAAGAATGTAGCTTACTAAAAGAAAGAAATCTATTTGGGATGGCAAAGGAAAATCATCCTCTCTTTTTTTTCTTTTTTTTTTTATAAAAGCTCATCATAAAACCCTTGTGCAAGGCCTCTACTCCCGTGGTGGTAAGAGAACCACCAGGATCCTCCGTCTATTGGTGGGGAGCGTTACCTGCTGGAAAATGGGTCCAGCATCCCTTAGGAACAGGGGCAAGTACGTTGGAGTCACACCCGACGTTCAGAATAGGCAACTTAAATTAGCAGTTCCCGAAATGGAGCAAAAAAGGCGACCCCGCTAAATCTGCCAAGCCCCGCACCACTGCGGGTAATGACTAGTGCAGTTTTAGACCCCCTCTAGAGTCTAAACTTGCACATTTCCAAACTCATACCATGACATGGGCGCCACTTTGTCTTTTCTTGCCTATTTCAAACTAAAAGTGTGGCACAGCCACAGTTTCCCCTTCTTTTTTTTTTTTTTTTTTTTTTTTAAACAACACACCTCCCTGCAATGCTAGAGGTGCTGATAAGAGCAGACACCACTAGCACCCAGGGAGGGACTCGATCTATTGGTGGGGAGCATCACCAGCTGGAAAACGGGTCCACCGTCCCAGTACAGATTGCAAATGATATGAGAATAAAGATGTATTCAAGGGACGCTGGGCCCGGTTCCCAGCAGGTGATGCTCCCCACCAATAGCCAGGCAAAGCCTCAATCCCGGTGGTTCTCTTACCACCACCAGGATAGAGGTCTTGTACAAGGGCCTTGTTAAAAAAAAAGAAAAAGAAAAAAAAAGAAAAGAATAGGCTGAATCAGAGGAGATTGCTGTGAGCCCTGCCAGCATTGATTACTCTGGCAACCAGAGGATTGACTGTGCAGGTTGCTAAGGGAGGGGAGAGAACCTCTTCACCCCAGTACCAGGCGCCGGATGTCCATTGCTAAAGAACTAGTTCCTCTCACCCTCCTTGAAAAACTGAGTACTCCCCGAAATTGAATTCCCTGTACTTCTTTGCCGAGCAATATTCAGATGTTTTATAGATCCCTCTATGATATTGGCCAGTAGGTCTTTC